TATTCACAGTGAGGGTGTGGGTGTGTGATACTTTATTCACAGTGAGGGTGTGGGTGTGTGATACTGTATTCACAGTGAGGGTGTGGGTGTGGGATACTTTATTCACAGTGAGGGTGTGTGATACTGTATTCACAGTGAGGGTGTGTGATACTGTATTCACAGTGAGAGTAAGGATGTGGGATACTGTATTCACAGTGAGGGTGTGAGTGTAGGATAGTGTATTTACAGTGAGCGTGTGTTTGAGAATGTCGACCTAATGTCCACACTTTCTCCTTATGTGACACCTCAGTCTGAACAGCAGAATATTTTGTGTTCGAATTCAGCATGATTTTCCAGTCAATTGTATTGAATCTTTTTCCTGGTCTTTTTCGAACTTCTTGCTTTCCTCAGATGGTGTGGTATGCCCTTTTCACTCAGCACCAGCTCTGCTTCTCCTTCATGCTGTGTAGCAGCATCATGAGGACCAGTGAGACTGGCAAAGATGATCTCAGCAACAAGGGCCACCTCCCAGAGACTGAGTGGCAGATCTTCCTGCACTCCACCATGCTGGCTGATGTGGCTGATGCTCAGGAACGACAGGAGAATCAGGGTAATTATTATCCAAGCTCTGAACTATATGATGTATACCATTGGATTCAGTCCCCATTACCTGAGGAAGCTGGGGGAATGATTGACAGTTTACTGCCCATTTCCTGAGGGAGCTGTGGGAATGATTGACAGTTCGCTGCCCATTCCCTGAGGGAGCTAAGGGAATGATTGACAATTTACTGCCCATTTCCTGAGGGAGCTGTGGGAATGATTGACAGTTCGCTGCCCATTCCCTGAGGGAGCTAAGGGAATGATTGACAGTTTACTGCCCATTTCCTGAGGGAGCTGGGGGAATGATTGACCATTTATGGCCCATTCCCTGAGGGAGCAGGAGGAATGATTGACAGTTTATTGCCATTCCTTGACAGAGCTGAGAGAGTGATTGACTCTTTACTGCCCATTCCCTGAGGGAGCTGGGGGCCAGTTTAAGTGAATATTTTGTGTTTTGTCTTGCTGTGTTCATGGTGACAGCTTACATTGAGCCCCAAATCTCGCTGACAGTCAGTTAAGGCAGTGTGTAGATTGCAGAGTTAATTGAAGTGTTACCTTTGACCTGTTTTAAAGAGGCGACTTGTCTTTATGTAGATATGGGAGATGACAAGTGGTCTGAACAAGGTCCGAATGCACAGTGGATGACAGAGGCCATGTGGAAGCAGTGTCTGTACATCAATACCCAGCTGGGCTCCTTCGCTCTGCTCTGCAGATCTATCAATACCCATCCCATACAGTGGAAAAGCTTTCTGCACTCAGAGGAACCTTATCACTTCATCAAGAGACCCTTCCATGTCCTTGGCATGGACACAAAACAAGGTAGAGTGTGGGGCAGCAGCCTGGTCCCATTCAGTGCTTCTGGTTGGTCTGAATTTGTTCACTGGGCTTTTGAATGCAGTTCTTTCCTCTTTCAGATTCTGCTAATCGCTGACAAAGAGCTTGGGAAAGGGGTTGAGGGAAACTGCTCAGGTCTGTGGCAGACACGGAGAAAGGCAGCCACCAGTGCATTACCAGCTGGGAGGGTTTGTTAATGCCCCAGCACAGTTTGCCAACTGCCTTGTCCACATCCAACTGTCTACTGCCAACAGGCAGATGGGCAGGACCCAGAGTGGCCATCACACCCTCAGCAGTATTGAAGCCTTCCTCTGGAATAGACCAGACAGTGCTGGACGGGAAATGGCATTGTGAGCAGGGACACAGAGAAATGGTGATGGGGAGATACTGTGTGAGAGAACAGAGGCAGGGAACCTCCGACAGAGCTCAGGGAGGGGACACAAGGAGTTGGGGAGTGAAGTGTGGGATGGATATGCCAGGCAGACGGGCATTGAGGAGATAGCTCACCTCAGTCTGACGTGGAGGAATGGAGGTGGGACAGAGACAGGGAGACAGCTTGGGGCACAGCAATAGGCTGAGATCATTTTTACCAAACTAGTTTTACATCGACCAACAGGAATCTTTGTATACAGGCAAATGACTGCCAGGAATGGGGGTGAGTGTCGGGAATGGGAGTGAGTGTCGGGAATGGGAGTGAGTGTC